TGAGAAATAACATAAATAGTGTCCTAAAATCATAATAGTTATTGATACAAACGACTAGTTATGAGAAGAAGTGCTCACATGGGGATGGAAAAAGGTTATGTGACCAAATTTAACATTCCAAAAAATTTTTCTTTGTTTGGGTTTTAAGAAAATATTTTATGGGGAAACCCAACAAACCCCCAGAAATCACCATACAATGTTTTTTGTTCTTTGTATTGGCCATCAAATAGCACATATGGATGCGACATTAGGATTGGAAACGTGTCCATGTTGCCCTGCACCAGCACACGGCGGACATCACCCGACAGAAAGAACCAACGAGAGGCCAAACCGCCCAATCCGTACCAACGTTGCCAAGTGTACACAATTTGCATTTCGCGGGAAATTCAAAATGTAACGGAACTACGCTAATAAAAATTTATGTAGATAAAACTGAATTTATTTATGAACAAAATGTTTACAAGACTATTTTTCTGTACAATAAAAAACAAAACTAAAAAAAATAATAATGATGATAATAATAATGTATGACACTACCAAAAGTTTTATTTACAGACTTCTAACTTAGAAGCAATATCAATGAAACAATATCAACAATTATTAAAACATACATACAAACATTTAAACCATATAAAAAACAGGTAGCTCATAAAAATAACACAATATGAATGAATTAATCACATGGAGATTTCACCCCACCAATAAGTTCACAAAGAATGAATCTCAAGTTTCTTTCAAAAATCAAATGTGTAAAAGAAAGGTTCATCATGTTCATGATATTTTCATTATATGTTTGGAATACTATTACTACTCATAATATGGAATTAAGGGCACAATGGTCATCAATATCACAGAATTTTCCAGCAATTGGGATAAGAACTGTTTATTATTAAATCTTGGATAATACCATATAATAATGTTTACCTACCTTTGGGTTGCAACACCATTTGTGATCTTTGTGGCAATATCTTGTTTTTCAGTGTTTGGCAATCTAATATGTTGTATTTCAAGATTATGACCATAATGGACTTTCTGCCACTCTACTAGAATTTTGTTGTTTTCTTTGATAACTTTGATTTCACTTGTGCAAGAACTATTCATCTTACAAGATCCCTGGCTTTTCAACCATCTATGTCTTTGATCACTGTTATCATTGAGAATATAACCTACAACAGAGATGAGTGTAAAAAAGTCCAATGAAAAATAAATCGGCCCTTCTCTTGAGATATAAATTGCATAATTTGATATAATCAAATAAGTATACTTACTCGTTTTACTCCTGTTGCATTTGTAATACACTATCTCACCAATTGTACTAGCATTTAATAATAATAATAATAATAATACATTTATTGGACACCAAATATGTTCACATTGGAGAAAGTAAAACTAAATACAATATATATACATATGGTGAACAAAGGGCTTTTGGTTCAGATTGCGATCAAGTCGCATCTGGTGTTCCACCAAAGCCGTAAACTGAAAAATAAAGCTGAATAGGGTGAAAGAGCACGAGAAAGAGAGGAGGAAAAGAGAAAAAAGAGAGATGGAGAGAAAAAGAATTGGAAATAGAGCATGCGAGCGATGAGCTGATAAACAATAATCACGATCTCAATGCGAATGTTTCATAGCGGTCATTCAGGGACATTTTGAGACTGTATTAAATGTTTTTTAAATTTGTATTTGAAATTATCGATCGATAGGTCAAACCAATTAGGATTCCAAATATTAATATAATTTAATGTGTCAGAAATATTATAAGAGAACGAGCGCTTATACACTTCTTTTTTGTGAGTAGGGACACTCAATAGTAATTTCCTTCTCAGATTCAAATTGTGAACGTCCGTTCTATAACTCAAATGTTCATGTAAGTAGGGAGGAGTCTTAAACTTGACTATTTTAAAGAAAGTACAAGCTGTATGGAGACGTCTGCGGTTGATCATATTAAGCCAGTTCAAATCTTTCAGTTTATGTGAAATTCTATTCCTAGTTCTTATACCAAAAATAAGTCTCATACAAGAGTTTTGTAGTTTTTGAATGCGCTTTGTGTCATTGCTATCTAAACATTTGTGATATACCACGTCGCAATGATTGAAATGGGACAGAACTAATGAATCACACAATGTTTTTTTAACTTCCGTATTCAAAAATTTCCTTTGTGGGTATATTAATTTCAGAGATGCGTAAGCTGTTTTGAGTTTATAGGTTACATGTTCTGTGAACTTAAGCTTGGAGTCTATAACAAGCCCTAAGTTTTTAGAGTGAGTCTTGAAATTTATTCTGGAATCTCCGATTTTGAGTTCATAGTTATTGGCCTGCTCACGAACGTTTTCGTTTCCAAATATCATGGCAATTGACTTCTTCGGATTGATTCTCAACATGTGATCTGTGGATACCTTCAGAATTGCTTCCAAGTCACTATTAATACGATTTACGGCGTCTTCTAGGTTTAGGGGGTCAAAGGAGAAATATATCTGAGAGTCATCTGCGTATAAATGGTAGTTGCAAAATTTCAATCTCTTGGTGAAAGTGGAAGTGTAGATGATGTAGAACAGAGGGCCTAAAATGCTGCCTTGTGGTACCCCAGAATTTATTTCCTGCCAATTAGAACATGTATCACTTATGACGACCTTTTGTTTTCGATTATGCAAATAAGATGAAATTAACGCACTTGATGCATCGCTGAATCCAAAGTAATGCAACATGGAAAGTAATATTTGGTGATTTATGGTATCGAATGCTTTCGAGTAGTCCAGTAATATTAAAATTGTTACTTTGCTTGCATCAAGAGCTTTAATTATGTCATCCACTATTTTTAATGTTGCTGTTGCACAGCTATAGCCACTTCTGAAGCCTGATTGTTTCACTGGCAGTATGTTATAAGAGTCGACATAAGATCTGATTTGATTTTCCATTACTTTTTCCAGAATCTTTGAAAATGTTGGTAGAATGCTTATTGATCTCAAGTCATTATAACTTTGAGGATTACTATTTTTTGCTATGGGTATTACTCTTGCGTTTTTCCACACACTGGGAAAATAGTTTTGACTTATACATTCATTTATAATATGTGTAGTTATAGACACCAGGAGAGGTCCACAAAGGTTGATGATTGAGATATTTATACTATCATCACCATAGGCTTGCGTTTTTATATTATTGATTACTTTAGATATTTCAGTTTCATTAGACAATGAAAAGGTGAATGATTCATTCAATCCTTCTTTTCGGTTAGAATTATAAAAATTTATTAAATGTTCATTTGGTACATCCTCATTCATGGAAGATCTTAAGAAAAAATTGTTCATATCTTCGGCATTTTTCAGTTGTTCTGGTATTTCTTTGTTTCTACCCTTGGTAACACTCAATTTCTTAAGTTCTTTCCATTTACTCTTGATATCTGAGTTGTTCAATTTAAAGTTTAAGTAAGCTTTTTTTTCTACTTTTATGGCTGTGTTGGTCAAGTTCCTCAATTCTTTATAGTATGTCAAATGCTGTGGAAGTTTCGATTTTTTGAATCTAGCTAATGCCCTATTTCTAAGTTTTTGCATCAATTTAATGTTGTCGGTAATCCAGGGGGTGTACTTGAGGTTTTTTGGTGAGCATTTTTTTTCTGGCGCATGTAGATCAAGAATTTGCAATATAAATTCATTTACGAGAGAAACTTTGCTATCAATATCGACAGTGTCATAGATTAAAAACCATGGTAGATTTGCCAAGTCGCTTCGGAATCTATCAATGTCTATGTGTTTGAGATTTCTGTATGTAACCTTGGTATTTTGTGAATTTCTATCCTCACCGATTTGGAATTTTGCCTGTATTAATGCATGGTCAGATAAATCACATTCTGTAATATTTACCTCGGAAATATTTTCACAATTCGTTATAATCAAGTCTAATAATGAAGAACATGTACTGGTTATTCGTGTAGGTTCACTAACAATTTGTCTGAAATTGAAAATTTCCAAAATTGAGGAAAATCTATCTGTATAATTTGAATTGAAATCCAGCATATTTATGTTGAAGTCACCCATTAAAATAATATCATTGTGACTGGAGAAGATATTCGTGAAAACTTCTTCGATTATATCAAAGAATGGTGAAATGTTCGAGTTAGGTGGTCTGTAAACAACGCCTATAACAACGGAACAGTTTTTTTCGATGAAAATGTTCACCCATATACACTCTATATGCTCGTTACATTCGCTGAAAATGATTTCATATTTATAGTTATTTTTCAAATAAAGGCCAACTCCTCCACCTCTGGTAGGCCTGTCCTTGCGCAAAAAAACATACTGATTAAGACTTACATTGTTGCTGTCTATACCTGAATGCATCCATGTTTCTGAAATTCCAATGGCATCATAATCCGCATCGAGAATGTGATCTTGAAAGTCATTGAATTTCGCTGGTAAAGATCTAATATTTATGTGACATACGTTCAGCATACTCTGAAAATATATTGAAAAGAAAGTGTAGGAGAAAAAGGGAAATGAAAGAAGCAAAAAGAGAGAGTAAATACTTGTTATATAGAAGATAGAAAATGTAAGGAGAGAAAGAAAAAAAAAAAAACTCAATCGCCCTAAAAAATTGGTCAACAATAGCGTGACACATGTGGCATTCCTGCTCTAACAATACTGTTTTGCAACATGTTATATAAATGAAAAAAAAAAAAAACCTTCCGCATATATTCAATTTGGTTAGAGTGATATTTATGTAAATCAGGAAAAAAAAAATCATAATTTTTTCAACAAATCATGCAGTCGTGTAGCATAAACAAAAGCACAAAAAAAATAATGAATGAATAATATGATCATTCACGTATTCCCACCAAAAATTTATAAAAATAGCATTGCATTAATTTCATCAACTTCAACTTGATAAAAATAAATAGAGAAAAGAAATTACAAAAACTAATATCTATTATGAAAAAAAAAGAAAAAATACCCCATTTTGAACTATATGAAATGCGATGACCGATATGCAAAAAGAAAATAAACCTTGTTGATTCCCACATAGTTCTTTCAAGTGGCTTTCATCTTTTATACGATGCACTATGTTATCAGTTTTAACAAATATGTTTCCATTGAAGCTCCAAACTTCTTTTCGTGAAAAATTTTCCAGGGCTGTTTTCATCCATAACACCCTCCTTTTAGTCAGATCTTCTTGCACCGAGATGCCGCTTGACTTCAAAAATCTCCGATTCCCCAGGACTTTGTTACGGGCGGCAACATCGCTGAACCTCACAAGAACGCAGGATGGTTTTCCGTTGTTTGTGTCAGTGTTTTTGTTTGGCACACGATGACACTTTTTTATCATCGCCTCGTTAAAGTTTTTTACCTGCATTCTTTCTCCGACAATTCTCGTAATAGTGGCATTTAATGATTCATTTTCAGTTTCTGCAACTCCAAAAAAGCGTAGATTTTTCAACCTTGAGTACTGCTCGAGATTATCTAACTCCGAGCTCAATTGCGAGTTACAGTTTTTCAAAATTTCCATTTCCATATGTAACTCTGATATCATTCGGTCGTATTTATCAGTCACATTTTTTATCGCTCTTTCAATAACACCTTGCAGATACTCGCCTTCAAGCAGTTTTTTGGTTTTTGCTTCCACTATAGCACCAATTTCTTCTAGGTCTCTCTTTGTCAAACCCATTATCTCGTTGCGTATCACAGTGAAATCGAATTTTTCAGGCAGCACACTAAGTTTTTATTGTAGCTTTCGTGTAAATGAGTTAACATACACGTTGTGTACAACTTACACAATTATAACAATTTATCACTTTGCAAATCGAGTTGAATTTGTAATTTTGCAGCAGAAACACCAGCACACGTCTTACTCGCTTGACATTGTTGCCGATATCTACTTTTCAAAACATAAGAGCAATTGTTAATTGTTTCAGTATTTGATTTCCAAATTTCAAAATCTGGAATACATAAAAATAATTGTTATAATAGTATATAGTTCTTATGGAATTTGAATACAGCATCACAATCTGCTTCTAGGCAACGGCTACTAAAAGTCGCACTGTTTCCCTCATGAGCTGAATGAGATACAGGCTCTGGATTTCTTTGGTGTACTTCTCGTACATGTCTGTTATGAGAAGATTGTGTGGCAAACACTTTTTCACATATAAAACACATAACTGGCATTTTCTATATTCAAATTTCAATAGACACAAAAAAGTTAACCACGGTATGAAGCAGCAAGGACAATACACTATTCTTACACGATTTGAATTGAACTGCAACTTAGACTGTTAATCAGGAAACATAACCAAAGGTGACTAACCTACTATTCTTTGACATAACCAGTGGTATAGTTTGTAATTTCCCGCGAAATACCCACAAACTGGGTACACTTGGCAACGTTGGTACGGACTGGGCGGTCTAGCCTCTCGTAAAGAACCACGGCATATGTCATACGTCACAAGTCAATAACAAAGACAAGTAGCACGAGACAACACGGCGGTGACCATCCACCCAGCGGTGACATACCATCGGTGTACTGGTGAAAGGAAAGAAGAAGAAGTTTGCAGGTTATGCTATGAGGTTATGTTAAAACTTAAAAATTCAATAGAAAAATCGAAGACCACCCAGGTAACAAGCTGTCGTCATTTGTACGTCAATATATGGTCATTTATGGTCATTGACGTCATATGACCCCAAAATGACGTCATTTTGACGTACTTGATATGACGTTATATGGACGTCCTTGATATGTCGTCAATATGACGTCATCTGATCATTTTCATGACTTATTATGACCATCAATTATTGAGTCATTTACATCAAGGGAGATTCATAATCAAGAAGTTTCCCATCTCTGTTATATGAAAACGTTAGTAGTTATGTTATATAACATATATTATTATGTCACTCATTATATATTTTGCTTTATAATAATTTTTCCTCTAATCTGTGCGAGATGTGTTTTTTCGATGGTCTCTGAGATGATTGTTAATTATATACCTTCTGTGCAAAGTATTCTCTCTATAGCTATTAAAATTATAAGACCGAATTTCACGTCATAAAAAGCTTATAACGTTGTTATTCCGGAATGCGTATTCAAATCAGAGCGGGAGAGTGCGTAGAGAACTGTACTTGATTGGTCGGCACGGACCTTGCGCAGACATGCGAACGTCGACGACCAGTCTTCAGAAGACGGCTGTGGCCAAGCCGTTCACTTTCGCTTCGCCGTTGCGGCCATGATGACCATAGCAACAAAATAACAATACATAGAAGGCCATCATTATCATGTTATTCGGCTATCTATGTGGTGTGGTGTGGTGGTCATACTTATTCATATTCATGTATCAAGTAGTAGAATTTGAGGATGGCAGTATGATCATTATTTTAGACAAGTGGTGTTTGCCGAAAAAGCAGAATGTGAATTGGACGCCATTGAAGGAATACCATAGGGCTCTGAAAAATCTCTCGAGTGCATGATCCGAATGGGATAAGTTCCCAATAAAAAGAACATTTTATGAAACTGGTATTTATAGTACCTACCTATAATATTATTTTGTATTTAATGTGGCAGAGGAACATCAATATGATTATTCAAAAAAAATCTCATCTTTTCTGATAATATTGATACAACCCTAATACAACAGTGTTTTTTTTACCTACTGAAAATCTCGAAATAGCACAAAATAAACTGAAACATGCAGAAGATTTCAGTGATATAGATAATCGTGAAGATCACGTCATTTTGACGCCATTAGGATGTTGTCATTTTGACGTCATAAGGATGACGTCATTTTGACGACATGAAAATGACGTCATTCGTCTTTGACTTAGAAGGTCATATAAACGTCATTATGACGTCATTTTGGAAGTCAACCTGACGTCAGGCTTGACGTGATAATGACGTACAAATGACGTCAGCTTGTTACCTGGGCATGGCAGGAGAAAATTCAAAAATTTTTTATGATCATTTTATTTTGTGAAATGTGAAGAATTGAAAAATTTCAGGCTATCATAGTGGGTTTGTTCATTCAGTGAAATGACATTGTTGTTATTCAAAGAATTGTTGATTTCGAAAATCTCTAACAGATTCAATAATTTTCCTGTCGAGCAGACATGTAAGATTTACAGATCTGTCTGACTGTTGAAAGAGTGGTTAAAGTTGAGAATATGATTGGCAAAAGTGCATACGTTCTGAGCTTGAGAAGAGTTGTCTACACTCCTAATGATAATAAATCAAAACCAGCAAAATGGAAATACACACAATCAAATGATGAATTCATCTGAGAAATAGATGGAATTGTATAATATAACCTAACAAATACAAATATTTTGAGCTGCACCCTACATATATATAAATATTCTGAGAAAGAATCTAGAAAACATGTGTATTCTCATTCACTTGTCCAGTTAATTTTCTCATTCATTTTTTTGGAAATATTGACAGTAGTCCTGACTTAACAAAACTTTATATCCTGGAATCTTGTCAGGATGAAACCTCCAACTCTTTAATCTTTTTTCTTATTCAGGAAACATTTCGTAGGAAAGACATATTTTGTATCTTAGTATTATCATTTTTTATTTGACCTCAATGGATACATAACTATAGATTTTTGTTGTTGAAACAGACATATAACATCCAGAAATTCAAGGAGAACACCAATTCCTACCTCATTTCCCTTGGCTCTCATGATGTTTTCTGAACATTACAGGATATATTCATGAGCATAGATGTGTAATGTACTACCATTCAACGATTGTCATAGGCAAATGATATCAAAAAATAATCTCAGTATATAATAACCAGTATATAAGACAGAGAGAATAAGATATTAGAAGAAATGTCTGAAGATAAGGAGTTGAAGAGTATTTATCAGGAGAAATTTCACTATCACATGTTGGAGAATTACTTAAACTTAGATGAATAAGAAGAAAAACATATAACAATAATAAAGAGTAGGGACAATCCTCAAGCAACACAATGTAACAGGGGAGTGATTTAGGGACTAGGTGGTCATCTGAAGGATTATAGGTAGAATTTAGTTAGGTATGTCACTATGGGTAGGTATTATGCAAGGAATATATAATATGGGTAGCATTAATGTAAAAATGAGAATACACATACTGCTGTAAGTTTTTTTCTTGTTCCATGTCATCCAAAAATGTCATGTCAGATTGAGGCACGAGTAGTCCTGTCCAATATACACCATCCATCGAGTAGCACCACCAATTGAGTTGTTCGACACAGAAAGCTGAAAGCTCTGAAGGGCAATATACTGGGAAAACCACAATCAAATGACATGAAATGTCCCAAACCATCCTACAGAGGGGCACCTGTAGACAATGAGGCCAAAAGTCGACTCTGACCTGTCCAAACATATGTAGCATGCAGTCAGCCAGAGAAAGTACTCGATATCCAAACGAGTATCCAAACCTAGGAGATACAAGACGACACTTCTTGCCAACGTGGAGGAAGAAATGCGCTTACCAAGCAGCATATCCAGAGATGTAGTAGCAGCTCAATCATAATCTCATGAATTCACTGATGTACGTTATCATTATTATCATATGGGAACACTAACCGAAAGAAGCACCTACTATGACACTTCACCAGGAATCAGAACGAGATCTAAACAGTCAGAAAATCCGTACCAAGCTCGCGAACTGAATCTGGTGTTAGGGCGTTGTTTTGCGGACCGACAGAAAACCGAAATATGCTGATTCAGAGATGCAAGAAAAAATCTGTCGACGCAGATGTTTTCTTTCAACAAGGAGCAATAGAGCAATAGATCTTTATTCTTATGGTGCGAGCGCGAGCTAATCTGTAGTTATGTTCTAATATGTTATATGTCAAGATTCGGTCACATAATCGAACAATCAGAAGTACAGAACACGGAACACATTTCATTACAAGAAACGACAAACGAGTTTACATCAAAATTATGAGCTGAGATGAGTTTTTCATTTCACCGAAGAGTCCGCACGAATCATTGCGCAATTTCGTCAGGACGTCACCAATTGTTCTGATGGAATAATTTATGATTCCACCGATGGGACAATGGAATATATGACACATTGATGGAAAAACGGAATCCGTTGTGTCTCAATCTGGCATTATCTTCTGAACCAGAAGAGGCTGATATGATTCTTGTTTCTTATCAAATCGAAATAAAGAACAATACTGAGAATGTGTCAATTGTTATGTCCATTTTCTCCAAATCGCTGAAATATTTTCATGGATTCTTACATTTCACATTGGAGTCAGCGCCATAGTCTCCTTCCACCAGTACGAAACTTTCATGAGAAGCAGAAAGTAGTGGCTCAACTACTGGCCCTGACAGCCCCCAGCCAACCATCTGACCCCTCGATACAAAAGGAAGAAAAGTATACGAAGCCCTGGAAGGGACACATAAAATAAAAAAAATAAAAACTCTTCAAAATTCCGACTATAACTCGTAATTTTGAAATTCCGAGTTATAACTCGGAATTTTACATCAAAATTCCGACTTATATCTCGAAATTTTAAAATTCCGTGTTAAAACTCGGAATATTGGATGTAAAATTCCGAGTTATAACTCGGAATTTTACATCCAATATTCCGAGATATAAGTCGGAATTTTACATCCAATATTCCGAGATATAAGTCGGAATTTTACATCCAATATTCCGAGATATAAGTCGGAATTT